GTTAGAATTAGAATAGAAGACAGAAGTTATCAAGAAAATAGAAAAGTCAAACTGTATTAAAGAAAGAAGACTGAAATTTGTATATTTCAAGAAACTTTCTAAGTTCTAATGTAAGTAAAAAAGGACACTTAATTCTAACTGTAATTGCCTAATTGGTTGCCTATTTGGTGTAAAAGACTATAGAAACTAGGATCCTTTGATTCTTTTCTTTAAACTTTTCCAAAAAAATTCATTGTCTAGTTGTCTTACAATACTTGCCATTAATGTTATTCCTAACTAGAAGACTAGGTTAGGTTGTAATTAGGAATTAAGATAGAGACAACTTAGTTAAGTAGAAACTAAGTCGATTCGGTTTGGGTTGGGTCGGTCTGGGTTGGTCAGTTTGGTCGGGTTGGGCTTTCTTATGAACAGCCCTACTCTAAACTATCTCTTGGCATGCTTGAAGGTGCAACTAGCAAAGGAAGGGATTAAACTTTTGCAATCATCAACTAAAGGGTAATATTTTCTAATGGGGTCATATAATAACTTACAAAACCCCCAACCCCGGTGGCAATGGAATTTGATCTCAGGTCTCTACTACAAGGAATCAAATTAAAGATCCTACCAAGTGAGCCACCATCAATTGATTCCCAATAATTTTAGTACTGCTTTTGCATTATTGCTGAATAACTCTTGCACAAAATTAGGACTATTCCATTTTAATTTATAATTGTATTATAACCATTAACGACAAATAGAAAGGTCCAAGCAAGGTTCAAGTACAATTCTTCTTTTGTCACTTGAATTGATGGTATGGCAGATCCGATCCAAACCAATCACCACAAAGAAAATACCCTTCTACAATGATGACTTGGCCCAAACAAAACCAAAACACCCAAAAACCCCATGTATCAAATCTGGGACCAGATCTAATAGGCACATCAAAGTAAGCACGTTAAATGAGCATTTGCTAAATATTTTGACAACTGTCAAAAGTGGGTATTAATCTTTTTCAAGTGTGGAGTGAGGGTATTTTAAGGGGCAGGTGTCAAAAAAAAAATTCGAAGTGCTCATTGAACGTGCTAACAACTTTGTGCCTACCTCATCCGAATCCGCTTATAGGCCTACCAGCAGGGGTGGAGCCAGGGGGAACCTAGGGGAGCCATGACCCCCCTATGGTCCCCCCTTCCAAAATCTCCACCCCAATGGTTGCCCCCCCTATGGGCAAATCTCCTTTATT